TGGGTCTCCTGACTCCCTTCAGTCTCTCCTCTTCAAATTCAGCCTTCCCCAGAGCTGCCAGACACTCCTAAAGCACAACTCTCGTCTTGCCTTTCTGCCTTATCAACACTCAGGTGCTGCCCATTGCCCTCAAGGTAAAGTCCCTGCTCTTTGGCCGGTACCATAAAGTCCTTTTGGAAGGACCCCATCTGCTGCCCTCTTCCCCACCTCACCATCTCTCTCATGAAGCAGAGCTACTCATAGCACTAAGGGCAGGTGCCACACTGCTGCTAGCCTCCAGGCCTTTGCACCTGCCATCCCCTCTGCCTGGAACGCCTTTTCATCTCCTGTGCCTAGAAAATGCCAACAAATCGCCGGGCGTGGTGGCTCATGCCTGTAATCCTAGCATTTTGGGAGGCCAAGGCTGGTGGATCACAAGGTCAGGAGTTCAAAACCAGCCTGGCCAACATAATGAACCCCATCTTTACTAAGAACACGAAAATTGGCCAGGCGTGGTGGCGGACACCTGTAATACCAGCTACTAGGGAGGCTGGACAGATAATCACTTGAACCCAGGAGGTGGAGGTTGCAGTGAGCCAAGATAGTGCCACTGCACTCCAGCCTGGGCAACAGAGCGAGACTCTGTCTCAAAAAAAAAAAAAAAAAAAAAGAAGAAGAAAAGAAAATGTCAATAAATCTTTCAAGCCTTTCTTCCCTGGAAAAGCCTTCTCAGATTCCCTCAAGGAGTCATGGTCACCCCTACTTTGCCCCATCACTCTACTTCATTTATCCTCTCCTCAGGCTTTTGGGTCTGCCTTCCTCACTGCACTAGGAGTTCCTCAGGAAGACAGTGTGATACTCATTTCTCTATCCTCCATTTCCAGCCCTGTGATTGGGATACAACAGTGCTCAGTTGATAGCCAATAAAGACACTGACCACATTATAGCTATTAAGAAGAGCCAGGACGTACTAAGTACTTACTATAATTCCTAACACTGTGTTAAACTGTTTAAATGCATTGTCTTATGTCATCCCTGTAAGAACTGTGGTGAGGGCCGGGTGCTCATGCCTGTAATCCCAGCACTTTGGGAGGCTGAGGCGGGTGGATCACCTGAGTTCAGGAGTTTGAGACCAGCCTGACCCACATGGAGTAACCCTGTCTCTACTAAAAATACAAAATTAGCCAGCTGCAGTGGTGCATGCCCGTAATCCCAGCTACTTGGGAGGCTGAGGCAGTAGAATAATTTGAACCCAGGAGGCAGAGGTTGCGGCAAGCCGAGATCACGCCTTTGCACTCCAGCCTGGGCAACAAGGGCAAAACTTTGTCTCAAAAAAAAAAAAAGAACTCTGGTGGGTTAATATTGTTACTATACCTGTTTTACAGATGAGGAAACTGAGACTCAGGGATGTGAAGTGACTTGCCCAAGGACATTAAGCTAGTCAGTCGTAGAGATGGGCTTCAAACTCAGGGCCGATTCCAGTGTCCATGCACTTAGCTATTATGCTATACTGCCTCCATGAAAGAAAGGATGATAAGATCCAGCCAGGTGTGGTGGCTCATGCCTATAATCCCAGCGCTTTGAGAGGCTGAGGCGGGCAGATCATTTGAGATCAGGAGTTCGAGACCAGCCTGACCAACATGATGAAACCCAGTCTCTACTAAAAATACCCCCCCCCAAAAAATTAGCTGGGGATGGTGGTGTGCCTGTAATCTCAGCTACTTGGGAGGCTGAGGCAGGAGAATTGCTTGGACCCGGAAGGCTGAGGTTGCAGTGAGCTGAGATCGTGCCACTGCACTCAAGCCTGGGCAACAGAGCAAGACTTTTTCTAGAAAAGAGAGAGAGAGAGAGAGAGAGAGAGAGAAGCTCTCAGAGAACAACAGCGTTGTGAAGACTAGAGTTTGCAGGGGAGTTTGTAAATTGACAATAACAAAGTCAGCTTTTTCCGGAGTAACAGTAATGATCACAGATGCCATTAGTTGCCAATCCAAAAGCCTTTCTCAGTGCTGACAAACTTCTGCTTTTGTCTGTGAACACCCTCCCACAGGTCATTCAGGTAAATCCTTACTGGTCAAACTAATTTTAGTAGCGTGATCCCTCTTGCCTGTGATTGGTTCCTTGGTGGGCATATAATCCCATTAACTATTAAAAAGAGACAGCTGGATTGAATTGCTGGACTTGGTGGGTGAAGACGTGGTGCCTAGAGCTCCTGTAGCCATCTTTTGCTCATGAGGGCTGGAACCAGCACACTGAGGATGCTTGAATGAAAATATAGGAAAGAACTTGATTCTTGTTGGGGTTGTTGAGTTACTATTCCTATATCAGCCCTTCTTGATACTTGAATAATAAGTCAGTCCTATTGTCTAAGCTACTTTGAATTGGTCTTCTATTCCTTGTAGCTAAAAATATTGTGATACAGTGACAATGAAGGTGGTCAAATAATCCCTGTCTTGTAAAGTGATATAAACTATGAGGAACTTTACTGACCTTTAGGAGCTACCACCCTGGCCAGGGTCCACTGACCTTTGTTCTTTAATGAGAATGATGATCTTGGCCTGGGTGACGAGAGATAGTGACCTGGGACATCATCTGAGTAAGCCTGCAGGACTGACAAAAGGTACAGTCCTGGCCATCTGGAGGTTCAGTTTACTGAATATTGATTAAGTATGTCCATGGTGCTGGGATCATAAGGCGTAATCAGACACAGTCCCTGCCCTTAAGGAACTCACGCTGCAGTGGAAGAGACCATGGCTGGCCAATGATGGGTGATGTTTAGGTCTACACAAGGTCTGGAGGCTGACTTTCAAGATGGTCAGGAAAAACTTCACACGGGCCTTTTGAAGGATGACACAAGAAGGATTAGAGAAAAAGACATTTTTTTTTTTTTTTTTTTGAGACAGGGTCTCACTTTGCCTCCAGGCTGGAGTGCAGTGGTGCGATCTTGGCTCACTGCAACCTCTGTCTCCTGGGTTCAAGTGATTCTCCTGCCTCAGCCTCCCGAGTAGCTTGGACTATAGGCATGTACCACCACAGCTGGCTAATTTTTGTATTTTTAGTAGAGATGGAGTTTCACCATGTTGGCCAGGGTGGTCTCGATCTCTTGACCTCATGATCCACCCGCCTCGGTCTCCCAAAGTGCTGGGATTACAGGCGTGAGCCACTGTGCCTGGCCAGAAAAAGACATTTCTAAACAGAATGAATAGCATATGCAAATTTAAGATAACACAGCTTTCCCAGGGCAACCATTCATTTGGCATAACCTGAATTGTGCTGGCCACTTGCAGGTTGTGTGTCTCTGAGCAATTGACTTGGTGTCTCTGAGGCTTAGAATTTACATTTATGGAAAAAATGGGGGGAAAAGAAAAAGAAAAAAGAAAAGAACTACAATGGTTTGGAAATTAGGTAACAGAATATATATATGCAAAACACAGTGCTTGGCATACATTAGGTGCACAAGAAACGTTCTTTTTTATTTATCCATTATTGTCACATGGTTCTAATTAATCATCTTCTGTGACCCAGGTGGCTTTCTTCCCTTTTTCACTCATTCCTGAGCCTAGTAGCGAGGCCCCCCAACTTTCACAGACTTTTCCTCAGGCAGGAAACCCGAGCCCACTGTCTGGCCTAGGACAGCTTCTAGGGCTGTGTGGTTTGTGTTATTCCCTTCTCTCTCTCTCTTTCTCTTTTTTCCTAAATGCAACAAAATAAAACCAAACAAAAAGCCCAATGCCTGGCGTGGCTTGTCAGAGAGTTATGCAAGTGTGTAAAAAAATAAAATAAAATAAACATTGAGTTTTCAGCATTTGGGGCTGTTTGATTAGACACGGAGCAGAGCCAAGGGCTGGTTAGATGCAGGGAAGGCTCAGGGCAGAGGGGAGAGGGGAGGGACTTGAGAGGGAGTTGGAGGTTGGAGGGGGGCCCCTGGACCAACTTGGAAATGGCTGTTTGCCTCCTGCAAACTTGGCAACGCTCTGGCTGAATGAACCCAGACGCTGGGCATTTGGGACCCAACTGCTCCACTTTCTCCACCATCCCTGTTCCCTGGCCATCGGGACCCTCTAGGGGTCATTCCATCCATTCTTCTGTCATTGTAAATGACCCTGTGCCCTTGACTCAATAGTCAGGGCTCCCCCCTTCTCTCCTAAGAGGGAGATTCCACAGGCTATCTTGATTACTCACCCCCCCCACACACAATCTGTACATCTTTTCTGCTCTAGCTTAATTCCCACTAACTACAGTTTTAGCCCATTTTTCCTTTCCCAATCTGCAGTGAAGCTGGAGAACAGCTGTTTGCCACTCTGAGAAGTGAGTCTCCTTCCCTCCCTTCTTCAGGCTTGACTTCAACATCATCTGGATCACTGCAGGTGTCTGCAGCCCTTCAAGACTCATTCCACAAACATTTATGGAGTTCCTACCATTAACCAGGAGATTGCAGCCTTCATTTCATTGAACCCTCAAAACAGATGAAAACTTTCGATTCAGAGAGGTTAAGTAACCTAGGCATGACCACGCAGCTGGTAGCGATGGAGCCAGGCATGAATCTAGGTGTGATTCCATCATCTCTCTCACTCTCACCTGCCAGCTGCCCCTGGAGGTGTCCTCACCTCGGTGCTCAGGATCTAATAGCCTTGATATTTCTTCTGCACTGAGAAGATGCACAGAAGATTTGACCTTGAAGGAGGAGAGGGTGTGGTCAGAAGCACAAGGCTCTATTGAGCTTATTCCTTGTCACTTTCCGGGTTCCTGATGGGGGAACTGAGTTTTTCATGAGGGTCTTTGGCCCCGATCTGACCCCAAGATGAGCGGAGTTGTTGCGGGTTCTCTGGCAGCGTGGAATCCCCCGGGCGCGGGGCGGGACCGCGGACAAAGGCAGAGGGTCTGCCCCAGGGTCCCGGGGACTTGTCCCTCCGCCAGTCCGGCGCTCGGAGCACAGGGCGCAGGCTTCGGGCAAGGACTTGCGGACTCCCGGGCCGGAGCTCCAGTCCGTTTTTTCTTGCGGATCCCTGGAAGGGGGGCCGGTTCGGGGGTGGGACTGCGAAGGGGGGGGATTCCCTCCCTCGTGCTCGCGGAGGACTGGCCCCTCTCCGGGCTGGGAGCTCCGGCAGAGCGGAGGCGCGACGGAGAGCACCAGCGCAGGGCGGAGAGCCCGGAGCGGCCGGCCAGAGTACAGCATTCACTCGGGTGCTGCAGAGAACCAGGGCTGCTCCAAGCCGCCCCGGAGGACCGATGCGCCGGGTGGGGCGCTGGCCCCGAGGGCGTGAGCCGTCCGCAGATTGAGCAACTTGGGAACGGGCGGGCCGAGCGCAGGCGAGCCGGGAGCCCAAGACAGTCCCGCAGCTGGCGGGTGAACGAACCGCGCCCTCGCCCCTCCCCGGCCTGCCCCCCCGCCACGACTGGCAGCACCACGGTGAGTCCCCTCGTAGCTGCCCCGTCCTCCTCCCCAGCGCCCCCTTTCCCTGGAGCTGGGGTGCGGCGGGCCCTCCCGTCGGGGGTGGTTCGGGCTGGGTTCTGGGGGGAGACGGCAAGAGGAAGAGGGAGACAGCACTGATCGCTCTCCGGTCGGTGATCAGGAGAGGGCACCTCCTGCACCCCCTCTGCAAGTCTACTGCGCCCGTCGGCCCTCCATCCGGCGGGCAGTCCCCTCCCCTCGAACTCTCCTCCATCCCGCAGCCTCGGGTGAGCGTCCTCACTGGCAGACCTGAATTTGCCAAGTCCACCAGCCCCGTTCACACCCCGCCTCCAATCCAGAAGTTCTCGATCCCTGGTCTCATTGACTCGGATTCCCCCAAGTCCCACGGTCTCTGGTGACCCCCACCCCAGTCCGCAGCCTGGGCCTGGGTTCGACGTGGCAGGCGGCAAGCGAGATGGCCCCCGGTGCGCAGCCAAGTGACTCCGCTCCCTGGCCCTCGGGGTCTGGCGCTCTGGAACCATGGTATCGCATAGCTGGGGAGAGATGAGGATCTGTTCGCCCGGGGCTCCCAGTAGTACCGGGACGGTCTTGGATCGAGGGTGCTTGCGGGGCAGGAGTTTTCTTGTGAAACTGGCCTCTCGGACAGGGACAGCTCTCTTGGCTCTTGAGGGATAGCCAGAGGGACCTCAGGTCCGCGTCTCCCTCGGCACCTGTTGGGGCCTCTGCGGGATAGTCAGGGAGGGAAGAGGAATGTGCGCGCTTGCGGGGGTGATGGAGGGGTGAAGAAGCCTTCCTCCTCTGCCCTTGGTTTTGGGGGCGGGGGCACAGCCCCAGCACCTGGCTTCGCTCCCACCGACAGGCTAATCCGGACAGGTCGGACAGGCACTTACTCGGTCCCGCCCCCCCACCCGCAATTCTTCTGCCCCTGCCTGCCAGCCTACTGGGCCGCCAGAACTCTCCAGCCTGTAGCTTGCCCGGGCCCGGGGAGGGCTAATGAGAAAGTATCTGGATAGTTTACATTTTGGGGTCTGTGTCTGGCCCCTGACGGAGTACCACTTTATTCTGACAGCATTGCAGGCACGAAGGTGAAAGTTATTCCAGCCCCCTCCTGGGTCTTTCTGCCCTGAGAGCCACCCCCAGCTGTGTCATCTCCCCAGCCTCTGCCTTTCCTTCCTAGACGCCTGTGGCCTCTCGCTTTGGTCTCCAGCCCCAGCTAAGCCTCTGCCCCAAGCCTCTTCCCCACTTTGCAGGTCCACTCCCCAAGCGGGCTTGGCCCCACAATCCGCAGCTCCCTGAGGGTTGCCCCGCCTTCCCCACACCAAGTCCTGGGTAGCAAACCTGAGGGCTGGTCACTAACTAGGTCTGTAAGTGCTGAGACCCTTAATCACTCAGGGCCAGGTCTCTTTCCCTGTAAAATGGAAGTAATTCTACCTGCCTCCTTCCATTGTGAGGAGTAAAGGAAGACCTGGCACATGGCAGGCAGTGGAAGGCATCTAACAAGTGTGAATCCCTCACCCCCACAGTGGCAGAGCGCAGAGCCCTTTCTTATCCACACCAATACCTGAGGCACTGCCAGCAGTTCCCATTCTATCTGTGTAGAGCAAGCCTAAAAAAATAAACTGCCAGTGCCATATCACCCAAAGCCCAAAGGAAATCAGAGGACTCAGAGAAATGAGGCAGGCTGCTTAAAGGGAGTCGTCAGCTCCTATTTCCTCTCTCAGCCCTCGTCCACGCTGTCCGTGTCTGCAAGTGTGCGTGCATGTGTGTGGGCATGCGGGGTCAGGGACTAGCTATAGGAATGAGGGCGGGACCTGTGGCCCTCTGGGACTTGGTGCTGCAGGGTTCCTAGTTCAAGACCTGTTCAGCATTTCAAATCAGATTTCTTATAAGATCCTGGATTTTCCACTCCTCTTTTGAAAAATCAGAAGATCTGGCAACAATCGGCCAGAGCTGAACAGCATATGCTCCCTTTAGATGGGGCATTTGCCCTCCGGTTTACCCCCTCCACATCCAGGTTCAATTGTATATGTCGTTTGTACCCCCGGTGTAGAGGAACTCTTAGCCTCTTTACAGGGTTCATTCTATATGTACCTTTTCAAAAAGTGCTTACAACTCTTCCCATCCCAGGGGTGAGGGAGGCCAGTGTTACTTGCTTCAGTGAAATTCACATCTGGATCCTTCTTACTGTTTCTCAGCTGAGATTGTGGTTCCCTGGTAATTCAGGTGGGAGTGGGCCAGAAGATCACCCCTGGCAAGGACTGGGTGAGTGTGGCAGGGGTCAAGAAAACCAGGACCTGGGAGGATTGAGGAGGAATTTAGAGGGAGAGGAAAGGGAGGGAGCTAACGTTTGCTGAGCTCTCACCCTGAATTGCCAGACACCATGACAGGTGGGCATAAGGAATGCAGAGATGCATAGGGGACCTTTTGTGCCCCAAAGAACCCCAGGATATTGATCACACAGAGTCCGAGTCTTGCAGACCCAGGGTTAACACCAAGTTTGTCTAATGCAGTGTTTGTCAACCGTAACGACTCATGGAACAGATCTGCCAGGGATTCTCAGACCTCAGTTTGAGAAATGCTGCAATTAAAGGCAAATCCTATCACTCTGAGTGATCGCTTTGGTGTCGAGGCAGTCAACCATAAAGATAAATGCAAATATGGAAATTGCATAACAGTGCTCAGTAGATGATACAGAACATGTTCATATGGCTTTTTGAATGATCATTAGCACGTAGGTGCAAAATGAAGCTTTGGTCATAACAAATCCAGCAAATATTATTGAGTCATCACTATGTACCCAGCACCAATCTAAGCAGTTTTATGTATTAGCTCAGTTAAGTCATAAACAACAATAACCTTCTTGCAGATAAGAAAACAGGCTCAGACCAGCTAAGCAAGGTAACACAGCTAATAAGTAGCAGAGCCAATATTCAAAGCCAGGCAGTCTGGCCCTGAAGTTTATGCCCGTGACTATCATGCTATACAGGCCAGCTTCTGCGACTACACACTTGGGACTGAAGAACCCAGTTCGATAAACTCAACTGGACATCTATAATTTGTAGGTGATTTAAGTGTGTAGTGGGGGCTGGAGAAGATAGAAAGACTTTGGTAAGTCAGGTGGGGAGTACTGGAGGGGCATGCAGGGGTTGGCAGCTGACGGGCATTTGGGGGTGGCTGGGGGCATCTCCGCTGGCTCCGGCCACAGCACCAGGTGGGATCCATCAGCCTCATGTAAACAGTTCTCACAGGCAGCTTAACCACTTGAGTGTGTCTGGCCTTCAAAGCCAGTGGGAGAGGCCAAGGAGGGAGGTACTGAACTCCCTTAGGGGATAATGATTTATCTCCAGTGCAGGTGGGCTCTGCCGGGGCCTCCCTGAGAGGTGAGGGGATGCGCTGGCACTGAAGAGCCTAGAGGGTAAAGGGTTAGGATAGGGGGCAGGAGGGGCACCTCCATTCCAGCACCTCAGATCTCTCATTCCTGAGCCTGAACTGTGACTCTCGGTTAGCCTGTGACATAGTCATGCTTGTTCCCATTTGATAGATGTAAAACTGAGGCTCAGCGAGCCTCCATGACTTGTTCAAAGGCATCTAACCAGTGAAGGGGAAGGTGACGGCCCCTGGCATCCACAGAGCCTTTGTGCTACAGCCCTGCATGCTCTGTGGTGGTGTGGGTGTGCATGGGGGAGTGTGGGGTGTGCGTGGGCAGGCAGCTGCTGTGAAAGAACTCTGGAGCGTTGGAGCATGAGTGTGTGACCCTGTGAGGGGAGCAGGGTTTTCATTCTCACTCCCAGGTTGGGCTCAGATGTCCAACTTCCCAGACACATCTGATCAGGGGAGGGACCAGCTCCCCTGCCCCCATCACCCCAGCCGGCCAACGGGTCCAGAGACCTGGCTCTCGCTGGGCTGGGGGATTATCCCCATTCTCTGTGTCTCTGGCCAGGGCGGGCATTGCTGCCTCTTTTATCCTCTCACAAAGGCCAGGCCCGCCGGGCCTGCTGTGTCAGAGTTTCTGTGGCCGGGGGAGCCTTACTTCCTTTTCTCCCGCCAAGCCCAGAGGGCCACCACGCAGAGTCTGCCAGCTTGCTGGGGGCCACTGCTCTAGCTCCAGGACAGGTGAAAAGCACATGGGTGACTCAGCCCTGGGAAGAGAAGGCCGAGGGGTCACTCATGGAAAGACAGAGAGAGCTCCTCTTCAAGAGACAGGACATTACTGCAGCATGAGATCTGTAGGGTAGACTTAAAGAAGGACTTCCAGTTAGAGCTGGAAAATAGCAGGCAGGGGACCAGCTGACCCCCATTACTGAGAAATCATCAGTGACCCACAAGTTTGGTTTGAATGTCCACCATATTCTGGCTACACAGGTTGCCAGCTCCAGTCCCAGTTTACAGAATTCTGCAAGATACGGAAAGGAGTGGGTTTCTTCTAGAAGGGTGCTAGGTGGGTAACTTGTAACGTCCAAACATTTTGAGCTCCCACAGTCTTCTGGGTAGGGTAGGAGGCATAGGTGGGAGGGCCCCGGTACTGTAGAATTAACCCTTCTCTCTCCTCCCCGCACAGGTTGGTTTTTGGAGTAGACCCTGCTGACGTGACAAAGAGATCTCCCATGTGACACTCCGAGGTGCCTTTGAGGAAGTCTCTCTTTGAGGACCTCCCTTTGAGCTGATGGAGAACTGGGCTCCCCACACCCTCTCTGTCCCCAGCTGAGATTATGGTGGATTTGGGCTACGGCCCAGGCCTGGGCCTCCTGCTGCTGACCCAGCCCCGGAGGTGTTAGCAAGAGCCGTGTGCTGTCCACCCTCCCCGAGACCACCCCTCCGACCAGGGGCCTGGAGCTGGCACGTGACTATGCGGCTTGGGCTGTGTGTGGTGGCCCTGGTTCTGAGCTGGACGCCCCTCACCATCGGCAGCCGGGGGATCAAGGGGAAGAGGCAGAGGCGGAGTGAGTAGCGGAGTGGGGTGGGCCACAGCCGGCCTTGGGAGTGGGAGGGGCCACCTGGGAACTAGGGCTCTTTAGGAGTTTTATTCCATCACGACCCCTGCAGATGTCCAGTCTGTCCATTACAACTTTGTAGATTACTCAGTAGATGATCCTGTTTGTGGATTATTCAGTTGGTGGATTAATTTGCTGAGATTACCCACTCTGTAGATGACTCACTTTGTCTGTTTTCCCCTTTGTAGACTCTGCTTTCTAGATTAACCCCTCTCTTGTGAGGATCCAGTTTGTGGATTACGCCTTTGAGGATTACGCGCTTTGACATAACACCATCTTTGTGTGGTATCCATGGAGATGCTTCCCCAAACCCCCTGCCCTGGGGCTCCTTTTTGGCCTAATGTGCAGCCCTCAACCCTTTTGGGTTAGGAGCTCTGCACAGCTTAGCACTGGGCAACAGGGCTTCCCCTGCCCAGATCATGGGGCAGGAACCATGGAGTAGGGAGGGTCGGGAGACTGTCCACTGCTGTGGCTTTTAAACCATGCCCAGTGGGATTCAGGGAGCTACAGTGGTGTTGAAGGGGAGACAAGCAGGCAGGGGTCTGGCCTCTGCACCCTTCAAACCAGAGCAGCCTCAGGTTTCTCTGCTTTTGGTAATAAGCGTACACGTAAGATGTCATTGGAAGAGAAGGTTCTCATAGCTTAAAAACAAAACCAAAATCCTATCGTTGTACAGATGGTAAGAAAGGGGAAGAAACCAGCCTAAGGAGACACAGTTGATGTTGGAACCCAGGTCTCCTAATGCCTGTGGGCCCAGTCTTCTTGAAAGCCGAGTTTGACAGAGGTCAAAGGTGATCTGTCCCCAGCCCCTTGATGGGCACTCCTCAGATTCGGCTTAAGATCTCCAGTGATGGGGCCCGAGTATTGTGGGGGTGGCCACCAGGTGTGAGAGGCCCACACAAAGGAGAGGGTGGGGGCTCTAGAGTCCCGAGTCCTCATCTGTCTTTTGACACCCCACACGGGAAGATGCCACGCCCACAGGCAGGAGGTCTTCCTGAAGTCTAGCCTAGCTCCCTCTTGCTTCATGTTTCCCTGCAGACGGAGGCCCCCCAGTGAAGGCTGAAAGGCAGCGGGGTTTTGCTGGGGCTCCACGAGAGCAGTCAAGGCCAGGACTCAGCCCAGGGAGTGAAGCTTAGAGAATTGGTGAAGCTGAAAATCCCTGGCTTAACAAACAATTAGAGACGGTTAGGTTTAATCAGCAGCAAGGCCTTGATTTTCCTCCCTTCTCATCTGTTGTGGCCAGTATTTTGGACTCCATGGGCCAGAAGCGGTTTAGCGGTTTATAATCAGTCTCCTCTAGTTCCGAAACAAGAGAGACAGAGAGAGAATGGGAGAAACCATTCACGCCCCTGCGACATGCTCATGTTCCTATCACTGACCCTCACGCATGCACAGCCTCACACCCGCCTACACCAGAGGTCATGGGACCTAAGTTCAAGCCTGTTGTATTAAAAAGAAAAGGAAGTGGCCGGGTGCAGTGGCTCACGCCTGTAATCCCAGCACTTTGGGAGGCTGAGGCGGGTGGATCACAAGGTCAGGAGATCAAGACCATCCGGGCTAACATGGTGAAATCCCGTCTCTACTAAAAATACAAAAAAAGTTAGCTGTGTGTGGTGGCATGTGCCTGTAGTCCCAGCTACTCAGGAGGCCGCAGCAAGAGAAAAGCTTGAACCCGGGAGGCAGAGGTTGCAGTGAGCTGAGATGGTGCCAGTGCACTCCAGGCTGGGTGACAGAGCAACACTGTCACCAAAAAAAGAAAGAAAGAAAGAAAAGGAAGCACTAGACTTGGCATCAGTAAGGGCCTGGTCCTACGATGGGGAATCTCCCACAGCAGTTTTGACATGCTCGATTTTCATACAGCCACATCTAACAGCTGTGCGAGCGTGTGAGCCAGTTTTTATTACCAAGTGATGTGAGTAACAGGCATCCTAGATGGTAAAAGTCAAGGGTGGGGAGAGGTGTGGGGGCAGGCTCAGGGGTGCAGGGACGGATGAAGGTTGTGTGTTTGGCAATACTTATTACATCATAGCCACAGTCATCGCAATCAGGAAGCTGAAATGTAATGTATAGGAGGATAGTAAGGCTTACATGAGATAATAGGTATATACACGTATTATTTTGTTTTGTTTTGTTTTGTTTTAAGGTGGAGTCTCATTCTCTCACCCAGGCTGGAGTGCAGTGGCGGGATCTTGGTTCACTGCAACCTCGCCTCTCGGGATCAAGTGATTCTCCTGCCTCAGCCTCCCGAGTAGCTGGGATTACAGGCGCGTGCCACCATGCCCGGCTAATTTTTGTATTTTTAGCAGAGACAAAGTTTCGTCCTGTTGGCCAGGCTGGTCTCCAACTCCTGACCTCAGGTGATCCACCCGCCTCAAAAGGTATACATGTTTAACAACCTTTGTAAAACATCAAGTTCTGAGTAGACTCTGGATGCAAATCATTGTTATCTAAACAATGTGCAGAACATTTTTCCTTAGGGATTCTGGGGCAGTAGGGAGGGAAGAAGCAAAATCAAGACGCCTGTGTGTGCCTGCTCAGCCTCTAGACAAGACAAGCGTGGAAGGGCGCTAGGCAGACCTGGAGGCAGGAGTAATCATGCTGCCTGCGTATGAGCCTCAGGGCTGCTGACTCTGGCTGACAGTCCTCAGCTGCAGGTTAGGAGGGCCACCAGAAGCCACCCAATCTAAACCTGATCCTGAGCTATCGTATACCAGTTTTGAAGCCAGACATGTCTGACCTCGGAGTCTGAGTGATGGTCTGCGTGCATGGAGCGAGAAAAGTTGAGCAAACAACTTCTCTCTCTCTCTCTTTTTTTTTGAGATGGAATTTTGTTCTTGTTGCCCAGGCTGGAGTGCAATGGCGTGATCTCAGCTCACCACAACCTCCGCCTCTTGAGTTCAAGTGATTCTCCTGCCTCAGCCTCCCAAGTAGCTGGGATTACAGGCATGTGCCACCACGCCTGGCTAATATTTGTATTTTTAGTAGAGACGAGGTTTCACCATGTTGCCCAGGCTGGTCTTGAACCCCTGACCTCAGGTGATCCACCTGCGTTGGCCTCCCAAAGTGCTGGGATTACAGGTGTAAGCCACTGCGCCCGGCAAGAACTTCTCTTTAGCTGTGGATTGTGAAGTCCCCTTGCAAGTCCTTCTTCCCCTGCTCTGTGCATTGAGGCCCTTGCCCCTCCCTGAATTCCTGTTCACTAAACCCCTTGTCTTCTTGCTCACCCCTGATCTGGGGTCTCTGCACCTTTCTGAATCCTCATTCCCACTCATCCCTCGCATTTAGTACATTCTTTCCTGAGCCCCTTCTCCTCTCTGATTCTTGAGGTCCCCTCCCTCAGTCCTGACCCCAAGGAAGCCTCCCTTTATTTATTGAGCCCTGAGTTCTCCAGAAGCCAGGCGCTCCCTTTGTACCCTTCCTCCATCCAGAACCTCTACCCTCGCTGCACTGACAGCCTTACAGTCCCTCATCCTTCACTGAATCCCCGTTCCTTCCTTGGGTCATTCCGCAAATGTTCACTGAGATCCTGCAAGCTGGCCCTGATCGCAGAGATGAATCTCCAGGAGCCGGCAAGCGAGTGGGGGAAGACAGCATGTCAATCCAGTTTAGGAGTGCTGCACGGGAGAAAAGCCGGGGGCATGGAGAGTCCCCGGGAATTGGGAGGAGGCACAGAGTGTTCCTTTAGGAGGTGAGGCGCAGCCAGGAGTAGCTGGGAAAAAAAATTATCGAGGGGATGCTGGGGAGCCCTAGGATTTCCACTGGAGAAGCTGTGCTGATACCTATTTGATACACTGGGGATCTTTTCTGTTGGAAAGAAGTGTTCTGCTGCTAAACAAGCCGCCCGGAGCCCACTGGGACACAGCAAGGAAGCTGTCTGGGGCTGAGGGGAGGCTTAGGGGAGAAGATGCTGCAGGGGAGAGATCGGGTCATTAAGCTCTTCACACCCTCCAGGCTGAGGAGTTTGGACTTGGCCTAACTCCAGCTACGGGTGGTGAGGAGCCACTGAGGCTTTCATCAGGGAGCCCAGAGCCCAGCTGCATAGAGGGTGGGGGAGGTGGCTCGAGGCGGGAGGCAAACACTCCAGGTAAGAAAAAGTGAGGATCTAAACTGAGCTCGCAGTTGAGATAACGAATCCTAAGTACAGCCGGGCATGGTGGCTCATGCCTGTAATCCCAGCACTTTGGGAGGCTGAGGCAGGCAGATCACCTGAGGTCAGGAGTTCGAGACCAGCCTGCCCAACATGGTGAAACCCCATCTCTACTAAAAATACAAAAATTGACCTGGCATGGTGGTGTGCACCTGTAATCCCAGTTACTTGAGAAGCTGATGCAGGAGAATGGCTTGAACCCTGAAGGTGGAGGTTGCAGTGAGCCAAGATCGTGCCACTGTACTCCAGCCTAGGTGACACAGAGAGACTCTGTTTCAAAAAAAATCCTGGGTCCTCCCAGCAGGACATGCCCAGATGCCAGGGCTTGCTGAACGTGCAGGTCCCAGGAAGCCACAGGAATAGATCCACCTCCTGGGACAGCATATGGCCTGAGAGGGGCCCTGCCCTACCCACTTCCTCGGTTTCTACACCAAGGCCCCGCTCCCTATCCTCCTACCATCACCAACTGAACTCAGGGCTCTCTTACTGAATCCAGTTCCTCCAAGACTAGATTCCACCCCAGAACCAAGATCATCACTCTCTGGGTCATGTTGAGTTCTCCCCACCCACCACTGTCCCTAACCCATTCCACCTGAGTCCCTCATCCCTGTTCCATCCTGGTCCCACCACTGTAATGAATATTCATTAGGATCCATCCATACACCACCCCTCATCTTAAGCCTCTGTCTCACTCACATATCCTCAATGCTATACCCTTGTGGAGCCTTATCCTTTTCTGAGCTCCCATTCAGAAGATATGGGCTCTGCCTGCCAAAGCTCTTTCTAGTGAGAGAAAAAGACA